TTGTGTGTGTGTGTGTGTGTGTGTGTGTGTGTGTGTGTGTGTGTGTGTGTGTGTGAGTCCAGTTACAGGCAGGAGGTGGAACACCTGGAGAGCTGGTGCAGGAAGAACAACCTCCATATCATGTGAAGAAGACAAAAAAAAGGTTGTGGACTTCAGAAGGAACAAACACACCTACCCCTTTCCCCCTGAACATAAGAGGATCTGCAGTGGAAGTGGTCTCCAGCTACAAGTACTTTGATATGCACCTGAACTACAACCTCAGCTGGGGCAACAACACCACCAGCCTGATCAAGAAAGCTCATCAGAGACTCTACTTCCTCGGGCGGCTGAGACGAGCTGGTCTGGGAAGCTCAGTCCTCACCTCCTTCTACAGGTGTGCAGTGGAGAGCATCCTGTGCTCCAGCATTAACGTGTGGCATGGAGGCTGCACAGCTGCAGAAATTAAAAGCTTTGCAGAGAGTGGTGAAGGCTGCACAGAAAACTGTTGGAGTCAGTCTCCCCACCATCACAGATATTTACACCTCCAGATGCAGGAAGAGGGCCACCTGCATCATGAAGGTCCCCACTCACCCAGAACACACTTTTTGCCCCCCTTCCCTCAGGAAGGAGGTTAAGGAGCATTAATTGCAGAACCACTAGACTGAGGAACAGCTTCTACCCTGAAGCTGTTAAACTCGTGAATATCTAACCAGGATTATCGCTGTAATGCCATTTGATTGCTGATATGTGCTGCTGACTATCCATGCTGCTGAGCTTTTGCTGATTTAGTTCATGCTGCTGTGTTCATTCGTACGCATCTGCTTACACAGACTCGTGTTCGTGCTGCTGTTGTTGGGCATATTGTTTTTGGACTATTAGTGCTTAGTGTATTTTTAGTTTTAGCATATTTCTTAGTTCTTATTTTAGATCTCATTACTGCTTTTCTTTACAATTTATACTTTTGTTGAATGTAACTGGAACCCTGTGTACACAATTTTGCACCACATGTACCACATGTGATACGAACAAACAATGAAGAAACTTTGACTTTGGTTTTGATATGGTGGCATTCATCTTGGATTTTGACGTGGTGACCCACTTTAGGATACTAACTTTTCCTACACCGAGATACAGCCACACACCAAAATGGATTTCAGTACTTCTCTTATTTTTCAAGTCATCATGCTCACAATGTGCACGGATGGACAAACAGAGATTATTTTTAAATTCCCCTTCTTTGCTCCATGATGTGGAACAAAAAGTGTTTTGGTGGATTATTTTAATAATGACAGAAAAGTTTACAATAAAGTGATTTTTAATGACTGAATTGTCACCAATTCAATGAATATCCTAGTTGAAGCCCAGATTCTATGCTTAAGCTCCTGATTTTGTCATACAAAAATTAAATAGAGGAGCAAATTACTTATGAAAAGGTTAATAATATGCAAAAATATTCACTGTTTTCACTGCTTTCTGAGGACTCAACACGAAGGAATAAAAAATAAAAAAAAAGATCCCAGAGATAGAAAATACCAAAAGTGATGTGAAAGTTTTACCTCTCTCTTAAGGGGTTTTATTCAAAACAAGAACAAAACAAAAAAGCTTTAACTATATTGGAAAGAATGGAAAGAACAATAAATGCTAAAGAGCCTGATGAGTGTATGGAGAATGTGAAATACAATTTAGCAGCAGAAATAGTGTTTTAATTCCTGTTCTTTGTGGCTCTAAACTCATATCTGCACCTGAGTTAATACTTTTAGGCCCCATGTGTTGTCATTAAAAACATAAAACTGTTTCAGGACAGTGGCAATGGGGGAGAATTGCCCCATTTTCACAGGTTCATACTCATTATTGTTCCCACTCCTTATAACACTAATTGTCCCTGCTGAAAATCCTCATCTGGCTTCAGCTGTAAACCATTAAACCCAAATCTTACTGGGCTGCAACTACTGGAGACTAGTAGAGACACAGAACAGAAATGGAAATCTGAATTTGTTACGAAAGTCTCCCTGAATTCTGAAAGTTTGCAACCACAGATTAATGCGGATACATTTTGCACAGCCAATGTTCAAGATATTTTGGAGACTGCCGTTCCCCAGAATATGTGTGATTAGATAAATGTGCACATTTACCTGAGCTGGATAGTCAAACAGCCACTGCTCCCTGGGTTTATCCTCATATGTCATCACTGCTTCAGTCATTTCATGACGGACGGTGGAGCGCATGGTGTCCAGCAGCCGGTTCAACCACATCTCCACCTGAACAAGAGCAAAGATGTAGTAAAACACCACAAAGTCTGTTTAAACCAGAGGTGGGGAGAGAACTAGGAAAAGTAGATTTACTGTTAAAATCTTGCTCAAGTGCAAGTAAATTTGCATGTGTGAAAAACTGACCTAAGAAAAGGTAAAACCAACTTCTTCTTTCAGCTGTTCCCTCTTCAGGGGTCTCCACAGCGAGTTATCTTCCTCCATCTCACTCTGTCCTCACTCCATCTATCTCCATGTCCTCTCTAACTGCATCCATATATCTCCTCTTTGTCTTTTTCCTGGCAGCTGCATTTCTAACATCCCTCTACCAATATACCCACTGTCCCTCCTCTGGATATGTCCAAACCATCTCATTTTGGTCTCTCTAACTTTATCTCACAGTTGTTCAACCTGTGCTGTACCTCTGATCTCATTCCTAATCTTATCCAGCCTTTCCACTCCTAAGGGGAATCTCAATCTTCTTTTCTGCTACTTAAAGTTCTTCCTCCTGTCTTTGTGTCAATGCCACTGTCTCCAGACCATACAACATAGCTGGTCTCACCACCATGGCAGTTGCCATTTTGCAATTTGACATGGCAACCCAATTTTCGAAAGGAACTTTTCTTACACTTAGATGTAGCCTCACACCAAAATGCAAGTCGGTACCTCAATTGTTTTTCAAGTTATCATGCTCAAAACACGCGCAGATGGGCGGCTGAATGGAGGGTTTCCAATTCTCCCTCTTTTTTTGCAGTGGGGAACAAAACAACACACACAAAATTAATACTACCGATAACTCGTTTTACTTTCTGCTGGGGTTGCCACAGCGAACAAACTCACACAAAATATTGGACAAGTGTTTTGCACTGCATGCCATGCTTCCTGACACAACCTGGGCTCAAACTCACTGTCCCTGGATCATGAGACGAGGTGCTGAACAAGCTACAACAGAACCTCTAATACTTGATTACACTAATGCAAGTAAATGTCCTGTAGTTTGTTACTGTCCACCTCTTGTTATAGTTGGCACAAACAGGCTCTCTTTCCTGAACATAATGACGTCATTAAAGTGCATTCAGATGGAAGTTGAGCCTTGCACATACAAAGGTCTGTAATGGAAAATTAATGGATTTATGGGTTTTGATGTGTACAATTCCTGGGGGCATAAACAAAATCACTTTCATTTGTCTGTAATATTGCAGCCTGTGATATCTTATATCTGTATATTTCCTTTGTTCTCCCGTAAAATCAAATGGCAGTTTTATTTATTTCCTTTTCAAAATCTATTTCCATTTTTAGTAGTCGAGAGAGAAACTGGATCTCGGTTTTCCAGTACGCCTGAGCATATGTTGGGGACTGACAATAAAAAAAAAATCTTTAAATTGCTAAGATTTCACTAATGTATTATTTGTTAAACAGAAATGAAATCAAAACGAACAATCTTTGTGTGGAAAAACTAAATCCATCCCATGATCGACCGCTTGTAAAACATTTCAGTAGCAATAACTCTCAGCAATTTTCTATAGCACATGATCAGTGACCCAACAAAGTTCAGTCAGGTCATCTAAATGGTTTCTTTTTTTGCTGATATGTTTCATCCTTCATCCAAAGGACTTCTTCAAAATGAAGAGACACCAAACAAACTGATCTCCACAAACAACATACTCCACAGTGGGAAAAAAAACAGTTTGCTGGTGGTAAGATGACTTCAAAACACTAAAGTTATTGCTCAATAATCCAGGTATAATAAATCCAACAATGTTCAGTCAGGTCATCTGGACGGTTTCTTTTTTTTTCTGAGATGGATTATTGAGCATGAACTTTGATGTTATGAACCACTTTTGCATGATAACCAGTAACCATTTTTATTCTTTTATTTTTTTACATAGTAGTTTATAAGTTTCTGATCAACTGGAAGGTGTCCAGATCCTAAGGCTGTGAAGAAGTCCAAATCATCCTCCATTCACCACCATGCTCAGTGTTCTGGAGAGATAAGGTTTAGTCACAACTGCAACAGAATTGCCATGCGGAGCAAATTTAATGTGTGTGAGAATCAGTGGAACTTATTTTGTGTGCTAACTCGTCAAACTGAAACCAGACACCAATTGTATTTTTAAAAGCGCCAATTGGTGAGCGGCATAGGTGTCGTGGTAATTTGTGATGTGAGATGTGAGAGGGACATCTCCCTCTCATATTTAAAAAATATTGATGTTTTGTAATGCTTTGTGGTCTAAATAGTTTAATGTTTACTTCCAGTTTGTTGAAATACACTTAGTCTAAACATTATTCATATCTAAGTCTGTTCCAGCTGCTCTGCAGTCATTCAGACACCAGGCAACATTGCACATTGCAATCACAACATAAAATACCAATAAAACTCATTGCCAAATATGTTTCTATGTACCAGTCTATGAAAGAAGGACGTGAAAAGAATCAAAACAATAAAGACTAACACCGACTGGAAATAGCTAGGTAATTATTTGGGGGTGTGGTATGCAATTTTACACATGCACATTAATATTTTTTTAAAACAGACTGTTTCCCAATGCTTTTAGTAAACTTTTTTTTTGTTTATAAACAAATTTTATTGAAATTGGTAGATTCTGTATTTTTGACAACTTTGCTGAGCATAATTTCAGCCTGTGTCAAGTATTTTCTTTTTTAAACCAATGATGATCTGACTTTAAAGATCCAGGAAGAAAGTAGATGTAGGCTCAACTCACTTCATCATCTTTATTAGTTATTTTCAAAGATGGTATCTGCAGCAGTAACAGCAGCAGGATAAAAACCTTGGGAAACAAATGCTGATTAATAGTTTTGTTTTAAATGTTTTTTTAATTACTTAAACCATGTGAATTCATAAATGTTTTAAATTAATTGTGCATTTTTTTCCCTCACTCACTCTTGTGCAAGGCAGACACCTTTTCCTCCTCCTCCTGTTATCCTGTACTCCTGCTTTTTGTTGCTCTCTGTCTGTGTTTCAGAGCTCCTATTTTACACATCTTCTGAAACTAAAACTACTATCATGGATCTGGTGAGCTGGACTTTCAACGCTATCGATAAAATCTTTTCAACAAAGCGACAGAGCCCTGGAAAACCCTCGTGCCCCACTGAGACACACGCGGCAGGTTATGCCATGGATCTGTGGGGAGTTTGGGAGCTGATGTGTCTTTCTGTATTGTCTCAGGAGGACACCGAAGATGTTTATCAGATTCAGAATAAGCTTTATTATCATTGCACTGAGATACAACAAGAATATGTCCGTACAGTTGTCTGAAAGATGGACGGAGTGCATGTAGCTGCTGCTGTAAAGCATGGCCTTCTTATCCTTTACATAATACATTTTTTAGATAGAAAAAGGGACAAAGTCATGAGGAGAGGATAGTGGCATTACAAAAAAGATCTCACACCTTGTCCTAACAGAACACTTTTTTTTGTTTGTTTTTTGATTTTTCCTGTCTCTTTAACTCTAGCAAACAGAAAAGAAATCCCAAAAAGTATAAACTGGAGATGCAATATACCATTGCTTGAGGATAAAGATTTTATCAAATATTTTAGAGAAAAGTGGGCTTCATATCTGGAGTATAATGGCTTGCATGGAACATCAGCATCTGTTCTCAGGGAGGCAGGGAAAGCAGTGATGAGAGGTAAAATAATCCCATTCTCATCATATAAGAAGAAAAAAGAAAATAAACATATTCAGGAATTAGAAGAAACCATTAAATTTTAGAAGCCTCCCAAGATGAAGACATGCTGGACAAAATGTGTAAAGC